GCCGAAACGTCAGCTTAATCGTGAACAAAGAACAATAACACCTCGCGTTTGCTCAAAAAAAATACGAACAAAATCACTTGTGCTAATAACATTGTGGACCTGTAAGACATCTAGAAATAATCGAATTCATAAAATAGGGAGAACACACCCACCATCACCTTCTTTGAAGCGGTATGGAATGGGAGCTTTTGGCCAACGATAAACGGTTCCGGTTATAACCTAGGTATAATTGATTAGTTACTACTGCACTAGTCTATGTTAAAAGCCATATCTTGAAAGTCTTTCTATCTGGTTTCTATCTGGTTAAAGTCTTTCTATCTAAGAAGAAGTGTTCCACTAAACTGATAAATTGGTAAAACCGTTAGAAATACTAATAAATAAGTAATGACAGTGGAAGCGGTGAGAGGTTATTCTCCTCTCCTTTGTATTCTTTATCTTCCTTTGCAAATATTTTCACTTAAATTTTGGCGCCATTTTGTGTTTTTTCAACGTCAAAATGTGATCGTAAACTCAATTTTCCAGTGTCATTTTAAAGCTCGCACTTCGTCACGACGTTAGGTCATAAAAGGTTATAAAAAAAATAAATCTCTTGGTGCTGATCTATCCTTGAAGGATGCGCTATACATTCAACTTCATTAAGCGTCGCTTGGAGGTGATTGAATGCATATCTGACCTTTATAACGACTCACGGTGGGCTACCGATATATCGAGCCAGTGCTGCTATCCTCCCAGAGAAGTCTGGTACCAATTTGCCTACCTCAGAGGAATGGAAGGCTTGGTAAGCCATGGGTGTGTGGACCAATCCCATGTGTGTGTTGCAGGGCGCCTCCGACCACTGTGCCACATGCGCCCGTATAAAAGGTTATGCAATTCTTTCTTGTTTTGCAAAATACTAAAAGGTCACCATGGTGGTTTCAACTGTAGTTAATCCCCACTTTACATAGGTTTGTCAGAATCCTTCCAATAATTTTTTTTTCTGCATTAGTTTTCCGAATAAATGCACAATTATTTAAGAAAACAGCCAGAAAGACTTTCACCGGCTCAGAATTGTTTCCCCTAACATTTTTTCCATACTAATAAGCAACTATCAGTCTTCATACCTTCCGCTTTAAACGTCGAAAACCTTGGCGTTGCGCTTTGGATGCTAATACCACTCTAAAAGTAGTAATACCTAGGAAACCACGTTCAAAATGCTAAAAATTGACCTAAGATCACTTAAGAGTTAGAATCCCTAAAGTGAAAGCATGAGTAGGTTATGTGCCAAAAATAGCCCATGAGACGATTTTGTTTTCGCACAGCGCAGAATTTCCTCATATTTACTCTTTTTCTCTAAATATCCCCCTCTGTTGCTCACTTCCGCCCATATTTGCTCGCTGTTGATCAAAAACAACCAGGATACTCATTATACTAACTAATGAATATGAACACTCACGCTTTTATCTGTTCAACGGTGAGCACCATATCGCTTTCAAAGAGCTTGTTAGTGAGTGGACGATTAGCGCCCAATTCTGTACCATCGTATTGTGGCTTGAATAGATTCGCCATAGCAGCCGAATCCTTGGGAGCCGTAATTAAAATTGATCATAATTTTCAAGCTATTTTTGTATTTATCAGGACTTCTATATGAGCAGCACTATTCCACAAACTGAAAAAGAAATTGTATTTATAAGTTGTAGGCAGCGCGTAGCACGTATTGAGCTAAGCGATTTGAAACCTGTTCAAATCATTACCCACTTTGTGCCTGCTTGTTTCCAAATCTCAACTGAACTTGTTAACGTATATCTCTGTAATTAAACCTGCGCTGCTGGTAGCGGTTTTGAATCTGCTACGGCCACGAAAAACGCTTCCATCAGTTTCTGCACAGCACCGTAGTCGTCGCCTGCACCGTGATGCACGTCAGAAAACGACGCAATCTCACGAATCATCTGTAATCAAGTTTGAAGCACACTTACTTACTTGGATACCTAGGTGACCTGTTTTCACCAATTCTTCGGACTTCAGCATAGTTCTCGTTTCGAATAATTGCTGCTTTAACCATTGTGGTTCCCTGGAGTTTCGAGGCCAGGCTAGCCGAAGCCCTGCTCAGGTCGTTGCTACCCCAAGCGTTCGCCGCGTTTGCGGATCAGTGGGAGATTTGCCACCATGTGACTAGTTTGATACCGCGACGGTAGGAATTTCTCGCATTGGTATCGGTTTACTCTTAGCCAGGTTTCCGAATGGAAACCTCGGACCTTTTCTCAGCTTTGCGGAGCCCTGTTGGATGGGTGAACTCCCCGTCGTACGTCGCGAACCGTTATCTAGGAACATTTCACCGTTAATATGAGGTGGTAAGCCGGTTGGAGAATTTTGGAAAATAACATCCGGTATTGTGCTGAATTAACACTTGTGCTCAAAAAGTCTATTTTCGTGTTGTATTTATGTGTGGCAACGATTAGCAGATAATTAAAAAATCAGCGAATTATAATTTTAGAGTGACGAACGACAGTCACCGCCGTGAGGACCGCCTCCTCGCGCTTGGTTAGTTGTCGTATTGTAGATGCCCTGCCCTGTACACACACACACACACACACACAACAGTGGGCGATGATGCGAACGGAGCGGTCCTATCGCCCATCGCCCGTCATCGAAATAAATGGCTTACACTGGCAGTGTTATGTGCTAAGAGTTTAGGATCGGCGTGGGGAATTTCTGGTGGTGGCAACGCAGGTGCGGTAATCGCCCGCGGACTTGGCACGATAGGTTGAGCTGTCGTCGTTGCCCAGTTCCAGTGTACTTGAGATAGTCGAGGTGGTGCATTTCTGAAGCTATTTCTCTTATTGCAGGGATAAAATAAAATCCACAACAGTGTTGTTATGATTGAATTTTTTGCAAACTGTCAAGATAGGCTGTAAGACTGGCAAAAAAACCCACTTTATTGGATGAATATATTTGCTTAAAAGGCCATCGAAAAGATTTTACTGAGTCTTTAAAAAAGAAAAAAATTAAAACAACGTCTTGGTTCGCTATTGTGAGAGGACCATGTAGCTCTAAGAGAAATTCTGGTGTTACTGACGGCAAATTAATGCACCATTTTCACCCTTCTTCGGCGTTGTCTTCGTATCACCTAATTTCAATTTACGATGCGACCATCGTGCTGATCAACCACTTGAGCGTAATATTCCGACAAAGAAAAGATATTCTACCTACAGAACTACGAGAGATGCACGTAGTATGAGTGCAGATTCAAGGTTGTTGAAGTGCTAGCACGAAAAAGCTTTCGAAGTTTGAGAAAAAAAAAACCCAGCGACGCACTTTTATAGAGGATGCAGATTGTTGATAGTAGTAATTGTCCGCTGATTACAACTTTTTTTTCGGTACGATCCGTCCAGCAGAAGTCGGCATTATTACTAGCTGGCATAGAGCATAACAATATTTCAAAACTTACTTTCATTTACTCAAGTTTGATCAGCTTTTCTTGTAAATGTAATCAAGCGTCTAAGTTGCTTGGTGTGGGCGTTCAAGTCGACTTATGCTTCGGTTTACTTCAATTCTCAGTGAAATGTATCATGTAGCCTTCACCAAAAAGACAGAAAAACAGCACTGATTACCCTTATGGTAACGAAAAAATTAAGGCATATCAGTGGATTTAGAGTATTGCTGTGCCAGGATCTCATTATTCTTCGACAGCTACCACGGACTACTGAGAAAAGGTGACACTTGAGCAGTTGGTTCTCGTTGACCTGGCGTGAATAACGAATATATTGTTTTGGATTGTTCAGCTTACACAACGTTTACTTGGCTGACTTTTCTACGTTTTCATTTTCTTCAGAGCTGATGACCCCCAGACGATGGTCGACAGTGTTCGTTCTCGAATTGTGGGTCTGTGTAGGCGTATCGATTCGAATTGTTAAGAGTGGAGCACCGCTCGAATAGTATGTTTGTGCACGATCGGATTCGGTCTCGGGCTTGGGTGCGAAGGTTCATCGGTAAGTATAGGTGCATCGTGCCATTACTTTACGGCAACTTGCATGATACTCTTCAGCAGAGGAGTGATGACATCCAAATGCTTTCGCCATTTTATATCAGCTTCGTCATGCTTTTGAGGTTTACGTTGCAGCTCGAGAAAGTCAATTGAGTACCAGCAACGACATCTATGGGTTTCCATTTCTGTGTCAACGGTGACTATGCGCAGAACCTTTGTTTACGCTGCAGGCTCAGAAGTTCTTGTGAGTTTTTTCAAGAACTTCCAGAAAATTCAAAAACAATACAATGGTTCAAAGTAGGATCAAAGGAATTTTTGCCAAACAGAAAGACAATATTTCTAGCAACGCAACAGGGGTTAGCCAAAAAAAGAAAAACGAAAATTTAAGAAACATACTGACGTTTTGGTTCTATTTTGATATTTAAATGCATAAACAACGGCTGGAGGGTAGGGAGGATGTTAGTGACGCCGTCGCTCACATGGAAAGAGCGCTACTAGTTTGACCCTCTTCCAAAACTCTCCCGCAACTCACGTGAGAACGTCTTAGCTCAACTGTCTCCAAGATTGCAAAGAGAATTAACTCCACCAGTGTTCTACGATATTCATAAATAGGAACAAGTCTTCAAGCAGCAGGCAAAAAAAACTACGAGCTAATCAAAGGCCGCAATGATGCTGAGACTCCGATCCGCAAATGTATACCACCCTGCCGTGAAAAATTGTAACAGGCAGTAAATAAAAATTTAACATTGTGATTTCGATGATTTCAGCTTCAGCTTAACTAGGTTCACTGCCGATTTGGTCTGCTCAGACCAATCCCGCTAACAGGTGACTGCTGGTGGTACTGGTCTGTAAAAAGCTAGTTGACAGGCAGGCGAAACGAAGGACCCATATGGTGTGGTGGTGAACGCGTTAGCCCCCGGAAACGGTAATAGCGCGTTTGTTTTCCCCACCGCAGACACTTGCGATCCGGCGTTTTGCAAATATCTCAGCACCATTGTGGTTGTACGTCGCTTAATACTCTGCAGTGGAAATTGTAGCAGGTAGAAAATGAAACGTAAACATTGTGGTATTCGTTGTGGACAGTAAATGCAAGGAAAAGAAATTGAATGCAACAAATGCTGGAATCCGCACAGTGGATGTGATGACGAGTCATGTAAAAAAAAAACCGGCAGTTACAAAACAGTAATCCTTCACGTAGCAATTCCCAAGACCGACTTTCTGTTAACCTCGGCATTGATTGATAATTCGATGTTTTTCTTCAATAAGCAGACACGAGGTTGTTATTATAGAATTTACTAGGATACAATAGCTGACGTTTCGGCGGTTTCGCCTTCCTCAGAGCCTGAAAAGGGCAAATTGAGATGCGATCTACTCAGCCAAACACTTTCATAACCCTAGCAGATAAAACTTAGCAAGTAAATTTGTATTCGCATAAGAAACAGCTTCATTTAAACACCTACTGTTTATTCGTTGTAAGTATTTAAGTCAGTTGGTGGATAGCAGCCGCACAGAGTAATACATGGGCGATAACTGTGTCTGCGTCAGGTTTGGATTAGCCTGAGGTATTGCGCCAGGTCACGCGTGATGACAAGAAACTCCTCCTTACGGTTCATTTTTGAATTCTTGGAATTGATCCAAAACACTTCAAGAGTTTTACGCGCTGATGTTTTCGATTCGTGCGTGAGGATAGTGATTCCTACTTCAACATCTTCTCAGTTGTGTTCCTGCATCCTATGCGCGCCCAGTGGAGTGTTTTGTTTTAATTTAAATTTACCGACAAGGTGTTCTTCTATGTGGACGCAGAGCGGTCTACCCGTTTCGCCAACGTATTCGTCCCCGCACGCTTTACAAGGGATCAGGTAGACTGTGCCCGAACTCATGCAATCACCATCTCTACCATTTGAGCAAATTATGCAGCTTTTTGTTGTACATAGACGCTCGTATAGGCGGTTGCGAACTAGCTGGCGTTTTAGAGTGTCCAATGGTATTTCTACCAGTCTTACGGAATCCTCTAAACCGGCCCTTATTAAGCAACGTTGTATGGCTGCACTTATTTCGTTTGAAATAAAGGGCAAGAGGAACGGAGCATTGTTTTCGTTATGATTATCGCTCTGGATCGTAGGTTTTCCTCTATGCCTATGTCGAGAAGCTACAGTTTCGTAACTATTTGAAATGGCAATTTGGCGCGCCAGTTTCGAGGATTCTTCCCTCTGATCTCTACCTGTGCACACGCTGGTGGCGGTTCGAAACATATTTCTTATAAGCGTCCTTTTAGTGTGTGAGGGATGAGAGGAGAAGTAGCGAACCACTATATTCATACTGCTTGGCTTTCGATACCACTTTGTGATGCAGCCGTTTTCGGGTAGGTTAATTTGAACGTTTAGAAATGGAAGCCAGTTTTCTTTCGGTTTCTCACGGGTGAATTTTTTGTACTCTGACTGTTCGTTCAATAACTCAGAGCATTTGCCCATCTCCTCTTATGTGCAGCAGATAAGAAAACAATCATCTATATACCTACAGTAGAGTAATGGCCTGAGATCGATTACTGGTGCTTCCACTTTAGACATAAAGGCAACAGCAAGGGTTAGTGCCTACCGCTGTCCCATTGCCAACCCTCTAATTTGCGCGTAATATTTATCGGTTTATATGAAGATCGATCAGTTTAAACAGACCTTTAGGAGGGCCATAAGTTGCTGAATCGAAAAGGTATACATGTTAATTGCGCCTTTGTGTTGCTCAAGAAACTCGCTGTTGGCTTGCATTGCGGAGTCGTTCGACACGTTAGTGTAAAGGGCGGTAACGTCGAACGATTCCATAACGTACGCGCTGTTGGGACGTGCGTTGCGCAGACGGTCTAGGAACATTTGGGTGTTCGTGAGATGGGCTGGTAGGTGCTTAAGCAACTGGTTAAGAATTAGATTTATAAACCAAGCAATTCTATCCGTAGACCCAATCTACAGTCTACACAACTGATGATAGGTCTAACATTAAAGGTAGAGAGGTCAGTACACGCCAGATCATGAGCGGATATTAACTTATGGGTCTTGATAAGTAAGCATAAGTTGGGACATGTCAGCACTTCAATCTTAAGATGCGAAATGTCAAACCTGCTGCGCTTGCCATTTTGACCCATTCGTTGTTCAGTTTTCGATTTTGACTTCTGAATTCCTTTTCAGTAGGTGCGCGATAAAGAGATGCGTCTTCAGATGTCTTTTCGTTATATCGACATCTAACTGGCGAGGAATTACTACAAACTCTCCACTCTTATCACTAACTGATAGCCTAATAGTCTTTGATTTTATTAGCTCTCGAACCTGTCGTATACCAGATTTTTGCGCAGCTGTAAGGTTCGAACTAAACTTTTTTGCGCGATCGCGGCTAAGGACTTTGAGAGTTTCGCTCAAAAATATAGGAAATTTAAATCGACTTCGTCGTTTGGGTTTTGCTGTCTAAAGAATAACCGAAGAAATGGAGGCGGTGGAAGTGCCCTTACTTCTCGTTGTTCCTTTTTATTTCGTGTTTCAATTCTACCGTTGCTGCGGAGTCGATCTTGGAGCTAGTGCATGCTGCACGCGATCCTAAGCAAGGTTTCTTTAGAAATGGGTTGCGTTGGTGAGAATTCTAATAGCGAACGCGCTTCATCGGGGAGAGTTATGCTTCCTAACACAGTGACCCTTGACATTTCAGGCACGTTATCGACCACATTTTTAGTGCTAGCGCTTCCGTAAACGATTTTGCTTTGTTTAATTGAAGCTGGTTTTTGTGAATGATCTAGTAAATTTTGAAAAATCCTGCTTAAGGTTACTTCAGCATTCGACCTAATAGAATCACAAATCAAAATTGACCCGCTTACTATTCTTTTCCAAAGGGAATCCTCCAAATACTGAACACAATATGACTCCTTCGACTTGCACTTCAATTGCGCGTCTATGGTGTCCTTGGAGTCTTGTAGTACTACACTACGTATGCGGCCTACCGAGGTACAGCCAACTAGTACTGGACATCGAAACGCGACTACTACGCGCCTCTCTCCGTTGCAAACAAGAAATATGTTTCGAACCGCCACCAGCGTGTGCACAGGTAGAGATCAGAGGGAAGAATCCTCGAAACTGGCGCGCCAAATTGCCATTTCAAATAGTTACGAAACTGTAGCTTCTCGACATAGGCATAGAGGAAAACCTACGATCCAGAGCGATAATCATAACGAAAACAATGCTCCGTTCCTCTTGCCCTTTATTTCAAACGAAATAAGTGCAGCCATACAACGTTGCTTAATAAGGGCCGGTTTAGAGGATTCCGTAAGACTGGTAGAAATACCATCGAACACTCTAAGATGCTAGTTAGTTCACAACCGCCTGTATGACCGTCTATGTATAACGAAAAACTGCATAATTCTCCCTAACGGTAGAGACGGTGATTGCGTGAGTTCGGGTACAGTCTATCTGATCCCTTGTGAAGCGTGTGGGGACGAATACGTTGGCGAAATGGGTAGACCGCTCTGCGTACACATAAAAGAACACCTAGTCGGTAAATCTAAATTAAAACAAAACACTCCACTGGGCGCGCATAGGATGCAGGAACACAACTGAGAAGATGTTGAAGTAGGAATCACTATCCTCACGCACGAATCGAAAACATCAGCGCGTAAAACTCTTGAAGTGTTTTGGATCAATTCCAAGAATTCAAAAATGAACCGTAAGGAGGAGTTTCTTGTCATCACGCGTGACCTGGCGCAATACCTCAGGCTAATCCAAACCTGACGCAGACACAGTTATCGCCCATGTATTACTCTGTGCGGCTGCTATCCACCAACTGACTTAAATACTTACAACGAATAAACAGTAGGTGTTTAAATGAAGCTGTTTCTTATGCGAATACAAATTTACTTGCTAAGTTTTATCTGCTAGGGTTATGAAAGTGTTTGGCTGAGTAGATCGCATCTCAATTTGCCCTTTTCAGGCTCTGAGGAAGGCGAAACCGCCGAAACGTCAGCTATTGTATCCTAGTAAATTCTATAATAACAACCTCGTGTCTGCTTATTGAAGAAAAACATCGAATTATCAATCAATGCCGAGGTTAACAGAAAGTCGGTCTTGGGAATTGCTACGTGAAGGATTACTGTTTTGTAACTGCCGGTTTTTTTTTTACATGACTCGTCATCACATCCACTGTGCGGATTCCAG